TTAAGATAATTTAAGGCGTGTGTGGATTAAACTACTACTGGTATTAGTCTTATTGGTTTTGTGAACCTTTCTAATTTACTTAATGATAACAGATGCAATACAATTTAATTTATTTTGTTTTGTGTTGTTTTCGTTCAATTATTTTTATACATTTTTGTCATGCTTTTTATTCTCAACTAAGAGCGACATAATTACAAATATATTCATCTGTCAAGTATAGGTTCATACACAGCTGTACTTATAATTCTTAAGTATTACATGTTTGTTACTAATTTACAGGAAAGTGTACAAAATGCAGAATGATGTTCTTGCAATACAAAATAGTAACTTTTATTCTTGTTTCCTTGAACCATAACACAATATATAATATAATATCTTACCTTAAAACATTCAGAATCCTGATTAATAAGGCAGAATAATCTTGATCCTGTGAACGTTGCCATTGCTTTGACTGTCTCTGTTCTCATTTTTTATAACCATGAACTAGTATTAAAAGCATAAAATATCTTTTAAGGTTCTTAAAATATGCTTATTATTCTTCATGAAATAATGGTAATATTTAAATTAAGTGCTATGTTCTTTTCCTGTCTATAACAGTTATTAATCTTATTGACTTTTTAAATGAATGCACTCACTTTACTAGTTCTCTCACTCACTCACCCACGCATGATGTTAAAAGTGCATTTTCATATACATTTCTCCCCTAAAAACACGATAGATCAATAAAACAGATATGCTTTGGAAAACAACGAAAATATAAAAACTGTTATTACCTTATTCACAATACTTAATCACTAATATAATTTACCTTTTTATTGTTTTATAGCATGTGTAGGATGATTTTATTTCGCATATATCCAAATTGTTCATGAATTATTCATTTGATAAGATTTTGTTAATGGAGCTAGTGTTTGTTTTATTGCTAAATAACAAATAATTAAATTAGGAATACAAATTTGTTATTGTAAGAGCATACATCACTGAACGATATCCGGATAAGACACATCCACACAGATTATTTACATGTTTCACTCTGCAGTTACCCTTTTAAGCATCAAATAACTTTTATTTCTATTATATACTCGACCGTAAAATAACTGGTTTAATACTAGTAAAACATTATTTACTTCATCTCATATGTAGGTATATTTCTATGTAGAAGAAAAAGGTAGATCCGAGCTACCACCTGTTTCTTTGTTAATTCAGAATTAATAGTACCCTTGTGTTGGAAATGTACTCATTTTCGACGTAAGTCTATCTTACAAAACACGGTTATTCAACGCGCCGATACACCTAGGTTACCATGATACCCCCGTAATAAATGATAATTACCAGTTTTTCCAACAAGATTTACACATGTATCCAACACTAATCCATCTTCGTTTTAAGTATTCTTGAAGTAATCAGATCAAGTTATATGTCACTTGTTAATTATTTCGAAGCATTTTTGTTATGATATTAATGTAAATTGCATGCATCATTTAATTGTAAACATGTTTACCCTGGTGTTCTATTGACGTATTAAAGTGTGCTACAAATTAAAATCATAGGAAAAATGATAAAAAGCCGCATTTTTATCTTTTATTGTTTGATTGAAAAATACCGTAACTGTGTGCATATGGTGTAGATTTATGTGAAATGCTATTTTGCTACAAACGAGAGTTTTATGATGAATTTCAGAATGTTATTACATAATATATGACAATATCTTATACATAGAATAATTGTCCTATTACATTTAAATACCTCGTTACATTCTTTAATCAGACGCTCGACCTCCACCTTATTCTTGTGATACAATCTTCAAGTCAAATGTCAATCATTTGTGTATATCAATTAGTTAAATCGTAATCAATGTGAAACTGTTTTTTTAATATCGAATGGCACTATATTTAGATATAACAGTAAGGTTAAAAGGTTATCAACGTTTGAGGATAACCAACCGTGTAAGAGACAGCAATCAGCGTATAATAGCGTTAAATAGCTTGCTGTGTGAAATAACTGGCCGTGTGAAATATTTATCATATAATTGTGTTTTTTGAATATTGTTGAATATAAAATGTGTGAATTTTCTGAAAAAACTGCATGCGGTTAAGATGTGATCTGGGTCATGATCGAATTGCATAGTTTATCATATTTGATTGAATGGAATAAATCCTGCGATTCTAATATTCTTTCAAATGTCAGCGTATCAAATCCTTTTAAATAATTTGCTTTAAAAATATTTTTACTTTGATATAAATAATCAAACTATATTTCCCCCCTGTAACAGAATTATGCCTGTTCTATGAAATGTTTGTTGCCTTTTTATCTATATTTTGGTTTTTTAACCAGATATCAATGTTCATAGTAGATAAGTTCATTTTAATGTATATTCTACTCAAAATAAGCTTTGCGGTTGGTTTATGTTTCAATGTCATTTTAGATGTATTGAATTAATACCTACATTATTGAATTAATACCTACATAAATAAAAATTATCTTGCTAATGTTCACACACTATACTGAATTGCAGTCGTCTTTAGGCAAATGTATGTTCTACTAATGATGCATTACAACTGTTTAATGTATGTAAATGTCTTTTTTTAAAGTATCAATTTAAAACTTACAAAATCAGAATTATTCTATTAATGTTCAAACACTATATTGAACTGTATTCGACTTTATAATTTCTTATGTTCTACTCAAAATACATTACAGCTCTGTTTATTTTTTTATCTCATGACCTAAAGGATCAGAATTATTTCATTTCAATCATATTACAGTACATAAATAAATGACGTTAATATAAGTAATGCGCGAACTTCATATTAATTCGATAATAATTAACGAGTATATATAGTTAAGAGATAGAAAGCGGTGATGTAATGAGCAGTTTGGAAGTTCGGTTCATATTTTACGAAACCCATACCTACGAAAAAAAGCCATTCAACGCCCTCTTGTAAAATAATTTAAGACTTGGCACAATTCTCTGTATCTAATGAATAATGAAAAACGTCTGTCCAACTAGTTATTATCTACACGCTAATATCTTTCCCTTTTTGTCTCTCTTGACATGGTATAATTATTTTATATACATACATAACTTGTTAATGATTTCATTTCGAGTCATCGATTCTGCTGAGCCCACCATTCAGTGTTTAAGGTACTCCACAATTGACGATGTTTCTGGTTCATTATGCATTGTCATTTCCTGGACACCAGCTATAATGTCCTCGGGCACTGATTTCCAATTCCATTCCAAGAAAAGGAAATATAATTGATATGACATTATGTTATTGGAATACCGGCATTGTATAGCTTAGAACCTTGGTGTTTAGTAAAATACATCTGAAAAATTTAGATCAATGTTAATTATGAATATCGGTTTGACTTTTAGCCAAATCATCTTAGTTTATTCATTTACAGAATGGCAGAACTTAGCTTCGTTTTAATACATTTTATACAAGTAAACGTGTATTACATTAAGTGCTATAAAAAAGTGATATACTAAATCTGAAAAAGTGATACACTTTCGGGTATGAAGATACGGTATTTCAGAAATTCGAGCTACCCTTCCTGTGAAAAAAGATTACATGGAGATAACAATCAGTCAATGAATAGTGAAGAAAAGGCCATTAGTTTATAAAAAAGGGATTTACTATTTTTCTCTTTCAAATTTGTCAATAATATAATACATAGCAAACTAGAAATTTTACTCAAGCGTGGAATGTTGTCTTTATTGGTGTGCATCCTTTTGGAATATTTTAGAATGCATGTTAATATAATGCTGTGAAAAACAAGCAGGATAACTTACGCCGGATATAAACATAAGTTGTTAAGAGAAAGTTTGAAATTAATATAGAAGAGTTAACTTGATTCAGTTACATATATACTTAGGCTTGATGATTTTACGAGATAAAAAAATGAAACAGCTTTCATCAAAATTCTTTTACGTCTTGAATTAAGAGTCTGAAACATTTCGATAAAATATGAGATCAGGTTAATGTACCAGCTGGGATTTTTCTAAAAGTATAACATGTCATTGTAACGGTGAATGTTATAATAGTGGATTACAATGGCGAAAGAAAAGGTATTGTAATTGCATGTATCATTGTACTAATTTTGAATTAAGTATTTAAGCGTAATTATACGAATTGTTGTGTAATTTTGTTGGGGTGTTTTCGAAATAACAAATGATGAAATGTATGTTTATATATCACAGTCTGATGATGATAATATTGGAGAAAAAATTATAAAGAATTCAACATTTGTTGAACAATGCTATTCTGGTACGATAATTTAATGCATTGTAACCTGACCGTGTACAGAGGAGACCAGTGTTTCTTCAATTCATTTTTAATAATGTAATAATCCTTTTTTCTGACTAATCAGATATAATATTCTTTCCAGTGACCACTATATCAGCTATCAGTTGCGAAAGAAAACATTTATAAATTCAAACTATGAAAACTCTGTTATAATTATTTCTTATTATATAAAGAGAATGTTAACCCATTGTTTTTATATGTATATCTATAGTTTGTGTTTGTAATTTTGTTAAATAATTTCGGTAATATGATCTCAAATGTACATTGAAAAGTGATCAATTTGAAATAATTTTTTGAATAGCTTCAGTTTTTTAAAGTCACATATGTCGAGATTATGACATTTTTCAACTTATTTACATAAATTTTAAATTTGCACAAGAAATCTGATAATATGTGTACAATGATATGTGGAAAAGGATGTAATCATTACACATGAATTGTTCATTCTTAATTCATGAGCTTAAAGAATATAATCTGATACAGCTACTGTCATAAAATGTATAGTTATGCGGAAAACCTGCAGTATGTAATATGGCTGTATTTGTTATAAACCATTGTTATATCACATGCAAAGAGGGATGATATGATAAGATTTCTATATGTAATATAATATATCTATAACTGTGTTTGGGATTCATAGACCAAATACTGGAGACTTCTATTTTTTGTGAATGGGATACTGTGTCTGAATTTTCAATCCATAAACAAAAAAATAACTGCTAGTGCATTTATCAAACGTTTTGTAGATATATTTGGAATAACATGGAAAAGGTAAGTGTAGCAACGTTGATTATTTGTATTAACAAAACATCTTAAAAACAAATTTTTGACAATCCAACTGTATTATATATATGTATTAAAACTATTCAATGCCTTAATATTTTTGTTACATAAAGAAGAAGAATTTATTAAGATTGCACAAAACAACTTTGTCACCCGGATAATTAATGTTTACATTTTCAACATAAAACAAAACATCAAAATTCGTCAGGATTTATTACGTAAAAATGGCTTATAAAAACAAAACATGATCGGAATAAATTAGTTTGGCATCAGTGAGATTATTACAAGATTCATTCATTTCTAATTACACCTTTATGTGAAGTTATTTGTTCAGCGGATTGTTACATCTGTTTAACCTATTGTAAGTGCAATGAACGTGAACCGTGTGTGAAAAATTGCGGAACATGCATCCTGAATGAAGACAGGGTCACATATGATGGCAACACAATAATTGTGGAATTGTTTTGCAAAAACGTTTAGTTAACTATGAGTGATAAAACATCTGTCAATTTGGATTTGGACGTGTATTTCTCGTGAAAATCTCACACCGATAATAGGTTTTAGTTCAGTCGTTTTGTGAAGCTCTAGACTAACGACAATATCTCGCTTATTACTAATATGAATAAATCGTTTTGATTATTAGTGATTGAGATGCATCGTTTGAACATGTGACAAATGTGTACTTCATTTTTATGTTTTTTAGGTTATATTGTTTCCTTAGTATTAATGGGTAAAACGTATTATTTTCATGATTATGTTTTATTTACTCAGTATAAAAGTGTTGTACTGTTTGTAATAATAGATACACTCAGTACATACTTTGCAACATTTGTTTCATGCAGTTAAAATTTACCGATCGGTAATTTAATACGAGGTCAAACATTCAGGTCACGTCTGACCACAGACTTAAACATTATCGTAAACTATAAAAGAAAATTAGTGCAAAATAATCTTACCTGCCTTGATTGTGTCTAATATACCCAAGGCATATTGATAAAGAATAATTAACATAAAAGTTGCGACAAATTTGATATATCTGACCTGACGGTGTATGAAATGTATACTTAGATATTATAAAAGTTAATAGCGAATGAAAGGTAAAAATATGATAGATTATTGTGTTAAAGGTGGTAAAATTCGTGCTTAACCTGCCAAAGTTTACGATTTTATATGTGGATATAAACGGTTAATATATAATGATACGGCGCCTGACATCAAAGTGGAATATGCTCTTTCTTGCCAGGTTCATCTGTTACATCTGTTTAACCTATTGTAAGTGCAAACATTCAGGTCACGTCTGACCACAGACTAAAATTATCGTAAACTATAATTAAAATTAGTGCATAATAATCCTACCCGCCTTGATTGTGTCTAATACACCCTAGGCATAATGATAAAGAATAATTAACATAAAAGTGGCGAGAAATTTGATATATCTGACCTGACGGTGTATGAAATGTTTACTTAGATATTATAAAAGTTAATAGCGAATGAAAGGTAAAAAAGGTAAAGGTGGTAAAATTAATGCTTAACATGCCAAAGTTTACGCTGTTATATGTGAATATAAACGGTTAATATATAATGATACGGCGCCTGACATCAAAGTGGAATATGCTCTTTCCTGCCAGGTTCAAGATTAAAGAGCTTATAGATCATTTTGAGAAAATACTTAATGATTTAAAGTTCAAAATAAACTAACCGGGTGAAACAGGTTATAAATACTTTCCCGACGATAAGATAATCTGATGTTTTATGTTTTGTTTAAGCAGCTATCAACCGAATTCAATTATCTCTGAAATTAAAAGTCTGAAGTTAAACTGATTCTTTTGATAATCTGCACAGATAAGCCTTTCATACAATCAGTTACAGATAGAATGTGTGACCGAATTGAAATTTAAGACAAGTAAACTATTTCCGGGACAATACATGATAACCAATTCAGACATAAATCTTTTACATGAAAATCTTGCATAACTCATGCATATCATCTTTTCTTCTTTTTTCCTTCTTTTTCTTCTTCTTTTTCTTATTCTTCCTTTCCTTCTTTTTCGTTTTCTTCTTTTTCGTTTTTGATCTCCTTCTGTATCATCTTCTTCTTCTTCTACTACGTCTTCTTCTTGTTTTTTAATGTACCAGAGTATTTTAATGTACCAAAAATTAAAATGATTAATGCATGATAAAGTATAAAACATATTAATGAGTTTTTCTTTTATTTTTTAACAACTGTCTACAAACATATCGTATAGAAATATGTATTATAATTGAATTCAAAAAACACAACACGTCATGACGTCTGATAAGTCTGTCTTGTACTGAAACGTCCGCATAATCTCCTGCAAGCGAAGTCTAATGCATTTCAAATTATACAGAATATGTCTAGTTAGTGTATCGACCATTGTAAAAGTATCGTCAAGACAATCTTTAACATATGGACAACATTCACAATACCTTTGATATATGTCAAGAGAAATTATAATTAAAGGAACCTTAACCTAAATCAAAAACCTAAAAACATAACATTTGAATTTCTGACATTGATCAGCTGATGCCTTTAAACCAGAAAGATATGTAACAGATAATGAAGAAATATAATCAGAACTAAATTGAAAATCGTATGTTCGTGCTATTTTTAGACCGATTTGATTGAAAAGCGTTGCTACTTTTTTAAGTTATGGTCAAAAAGATGTGAGTGAATTACATTAAATTTTGCACAAAAAAGTTATTCGTCTAAACCTACATCAAATTAAACATTAATACCGAAACACTATTTCCAGTCCCTTCATGTCTAAAAACTTCAGTGGAGTCCCTTGAATAAAACGTACGTACCACATTCGGAACTAGTCGGTCTTTTAAAAGTTCTATATCTTTTATACATGTTAACTGCTCGTTGACTATATGTCGTAACGTACAATATATTATTTAATGATAGATTATACGTTTTCCTTGTTTGCACAATACATTGCGGTCATATCATTTAAGGAAATATACCTTTATAGTTACATGTATTCATTGTCTTTTGTTCTTTCCACATCTGTGTTCATCAAATGAAACATCAGATACTTTTAATTGTTGAATAAGTTGCACATGTGATTTGCATATAGTTTCATATTCATTGGGTGAACATGACCTTTAGGAAATACAGTACCATTATAAAAGGTGCATCCGCATTATAATATATTATTATTGAAAATATATAAAAATAAAGTAAGTTGGTTGCATAATCTTAATATAAACGGTCGTTATAAAGGTATGCAACTCGTAATTTGTTTGTTCTATTTTTGTAAATTATTGTAAATTAACTATTAGATGTCGTCTGCACAAATCATTTAAGTAATTATATCCGCTAAATGTGCTATGTGTGTAATAATTATTCATTCACCATTTAAATAAATTCTATGGAGTAGCAATAGATAAGTTTCATCAAATTGCTATTCTAAATAATAGAACAGAACATGATATACTTTATTTCTATTTGTGTTCACCACCCACCATAACAAGCATAAATATGTATATTCATTCAATATTAGATTGTTCAACCTTAAATAATAAAGACAAATTGTATTGATAATTTTAATTGACTGCATTACGTATGTGTTTTAACTTGCACTTATAACAAAAAGTTTTGTTTTAAATTTAGTACGGTTTTAGAAATAGATTATGATGAGATTTAAACCGTTTTAGTGTATTACTCTGCCATTAATCATGTATTGAATATGTACTCATTTTTATGACGTAAGTCTATCTTATAAAACACGGTCATTAAACGCATCGATACACCTAGGTTACCATGAAACCCTGTTATTAATGATAATTACCAGTTTTTCCAACAAGATTTACACATGTATCCAACACTAATCCATCTTCGAATTAAGTATCCTTGAAGTAATCAGATCAAGTTATATGGCACTTGTTTAATTATTTCGAAGCATTTTTGTTATGATATTGATGAAATATACATGCATCATTCAATTGTAAACATGTTTACCCTGGCGTTCTATTGACGAATCAAAGTGTGCTACAAATTAAAATCATAGCAGAAATTATAAAATATAGCATTTTTATCTTTTCTTTTTGATTGAAAAATACCGTAACTGTGTGCATTTGGTGTAGAATTATGTGAATTATGTGAAATGCTAATTTAATATTAATGAGAGTTTTATGATGAATTTCAGAATGTTAATACATAATTATATTACAATAAATTTGACATAGAATGATCGTCCCATTACATTTTAACTAGACTTTTATGATGAATTTCAGAATGTTAATGCATATAAATACCTTTATTTATAAGAACATTTTTTTCTATTAAACACCATGACAGCTTTACATTCTTTAATCAGACGCCCGACCTCAACCTTATTCTTGTGATACAATCTTTAAGTCAAATGTCAATCATTTGTGTATATCAATTAGATAAATCGTAATCAATGTGAAACTGTTTATTTAATATCGAATGGTCACTCTATCAGAGATAACAGTAACGTCGAAAGGTTATCAACGCTCGAGGATAACTAACCGTGTAAAGAGAAAGCAATCAGCGTAAAATACCTTGCTGTGCCCGTGTGAAATATTTATCATATAATTGTGTTTTTTGAAAATAGTTGAATATGAAATGTGTGAATTTTGTGGAGAAACTGCTTGCGGTTAAGATGTAATCTGGGTCATGATCGAATTGTTCATTTTATCATATTTTATTGAATAGAACAAATCCTGCGATTCTAATATTATCTCAAATATCAGCTAATCAAATCCTCATAAAAAGCTGCTGTAAAAATATTTTTACTTTGATAGAAAAAATCCTACTTGTATTCATTTTGTCCGAAACAAATCCTGTACTACACTTCCGCTATCACAGGCTGAGTCTGTTCTATGAAAACAGTTTTGTTGTCTTTTAATCTATATTTTGGTTTTTAACCAATCAATGTTCAAACGCTATATTAAGTTTAATAGTCAAACTTCATATAATGTTCTACTTAAAATATACA